GCCCAATCCTCCTCCACTTGTGATCCCACCTTCCCTGCTAAGCATCCGTTTGACTAGTGCACCAACGTCTGGTCCTGGACACGGTTAATGGTCAACAGAAATTCCTCGCCACAATTCTTGTCCTCGGACCGAATGTAACCTTACTTTCAACTGGAGCTGTCGAGACGGCCAAGTACAGTCCCTCAGTCCCGTGGTAGCTGGTGAGCAACGCAGTTGGTTCGTGGATGTTTTTTGTGGTGCCGGATGTGTTGTGATGGCTGACGCGTGAGGTGTACCGAGAGTAGAGCCGATGACACCGCGTTAAAGGAGAGAGGGGCGATGCGGTACTTTGTTGATGCGACCACCTGTATGTCTGGTGGTTGATACGACATTCGTCTTGGTCTTGTACGCGTGGGGTGGTCTTCGAACCAATCCAAAGCCCAATCTTTCCGCTTTTCTCCTGTAATGCATCACTCGCCCTAACTTAATGCCTTCTTATACCTAGTGGGAATTCTCTATGCGCTATACTAACAACGAGGCAATAAAGAAAGATATTTAAGTGGATAAATAATATTATAAGCTTAATAGGTTTTTTCTAAAACAACGAAAAACGCGTAGGATGGAAGTGATATTCGTGATAAATGGAAATTAATAATAGTCGGCCTAAGTGACGAAGGTGAAATGGATAGCTGTGTCTATAGCGGACCGAAACTTCGCATTAGGCATTAGAATGCTTAAGACCTATCCGAAGGAAGGGGAAGAGGTGCGCTTTGGCATGACCCTTAAGCCAGCTCACATGTTTGAAGCAAGACAGCCGCCAAAGAGGCTGCCTACTCTACTGGCAGTTGGTTCAGCAAAGTATTGCATAGCTCTACACTTCTACTAGACGTCATCCCCGACACTCTCACCAAAATGTTTCCTGTATTTGGTGCTGTACGAGATCATCAACGAGTCATCTACGTAAAAGTTCCACTTCTGTGCAAATGAAAGAATGCAGTTAGCCCTCTCAACAGCCTAAAGTGGAATTGAAGACAGGAGCTTCTATTGATCACCAAATGAATTGAGAGCATGACTTTGGAATAGTTGTTGTAATACCTTGTTTGTGACACCTGATGTCTGGCGGTTTCTTTAAGAATCGTCTGGTCCCTGTACACGTGGGCTAGCCTTTAGCTCAGACCTAATCCATTTGTTCTCCCTGGAATACATACGTTCTTCTTCCATCCGATGGGAAGTCTTGAGACGCTATACTGATGGTAGCGAAATGCGAACCCGACATTTTTTTACGACTTCTGTCCTAGCATGTAACGTTTGATGCAGTGTCAGCGGAGTGGAGGAAGCCCAATCACATTGCGGGTGGGAGAATCTCAGAATTCTTCGTAAAAGAAGGGTTGAGAATGATGTCTGTGTTACCAATTAAAGCGACACCACCGTAAACCATCTAAGATAGTTTCGTGTTGGAATTTTCTCTACTACCGTGAATTGGTGTCGAAGATGACACAACGATTCTCCTCATGTACGAGACTGTCTAAACTCGTTTCCTCTGCAACACATCTGTAGTTGATCGAATTTCCACTGTCAACAGTTGTATGTGATCCCCAATCCATCCCCTCAGACCGAGCGTAATTCCGAGTACAGTTGAAGCTGCTGAGGAGCCCAAGTACCGTTCCTCAGTCTCATGATACCTGTAGACTGGTGCGGCAGGCTAGTGGGTGCCTTTTTGCAGAAGCGAATATGTTGTGATAGGTGGCGCGAGAGGTGTTCCGAAGGAGCTTTGATTATGCGACTACCTGATGTCTGGCGGTTACTTTAAGATTCGTATAGTCCATGTACGCGTGAGCTGGCCTTCGAACCAAGTTCAGGCTTAAACCCTTTGTTCTCCTAGAATACGCGCACTCAGTTCTACTTGATGTCCGCTCTACCCGGAAGGAAGTCTCGTGACGCTACAAATATAGTTCAAAGTTAGGGGGCGCCAATATAATGAAGAGATACTCCGAAATAACACTTTTTTAAGGAGCAAAACAGCTTCTTTGTTAATAATTTGCCAGTAAGATAAGGAAATAATATAAATACCGGATATGGAGCACTTTAAGGCTTTCAAAATTTGGAAGAATTGTGGATTGTCCTACCAATCGCATAGTAAAATTTGTCGCAAACAATGGGAAAGAGAATACATACCATTATGAAGACAAGCACTTTGGATGAACGCGCAGGTGAACAGATCCGGAGCCCACTCATACGACAGAGGCGAAATTGACATCACAGTGTTCGTCATTTATACCAATGGTTAAGCAAATAATGTTTTGCATCAACTGCTTTAAGGTTGTACTATTTGCAAATCTCTGGTACCTTCCCAGGACCAAATGCGAACGTAACACGTGAAAAGAACGTACGCACGTACCTTTAGAATGCTGTAAGGCAAGGAACTGTATGCGAAGCCCCAAAAATGAATTCGCCTTCTAAAGGAAAGAACTTAAATAAGCAATGTATCGCAACATCAATATGCCTCTGTTACTGTTTGCTAAGTATGGGCTCAAACAAAGGCACGTATTAACTGATAATGGTTCAAAAATGCGTCCCATTTTGGGAACTCCTCATAGATTATTAGAATATTCATATAAAAGTGGGTATTTAAACAGTATTCTTTAACATAAGGACAACATAATGTGTTGCGTAATTATAGAAAGCAAATTTTGTGCCTCTAGGTAAATATCACTTAGCCTTTAAAGTTGTTAATTTTGGCGCAGTTTCGTTTTAGCTGATGAAATTACTTTAGTCGAAGGTCATAGTTTGGTCACATACTCTAACGAAAATTGTTTCTGGGGTGCGGTTGGATTATTGCTGGCCTTCTTTTTGCGTTGAGCCATATAAAGTGCATTCGACTTGTTCTTTTTTTTGGAAATATCGATTGTGCCTTTTGAATGCATTGAGATAACTGTCCAATATGAATCCGATCTTAGAAGGCTACGTCAAATACCGTGATGGCAAAAAGGTAACCTTGTTTTATTTTCAAATCCATTCCTTCTCCCTAGTGGAAGAGGCGCTACTGCGTTTTGTGTTCACCCTCAAAAAGCCTTAGTAAGTGTTTTTTGCATTGTTTTTTTGTCAGCGCACACTGGTTTTGCTCCCTACCGGAGCATTTGCTTTGATCTCTTCATCTCGAATACGTTACTTTGTTTTTGTTGTTGCCCTCAATTGATGTCGCTTTGGCCCTTAACAGTTCATTGGGTAGTCACTTGCCTTAGGGCTAGCTGCATACAAGTTGGTTTACTCAATAAGGCGAATTTGATTAAGTTGTCTTTTTACTTCGCTTTTGTCGACGCCTTCTATTGAAAGTCATGGCTCAATAAGTTATCATCTATCCAATTGAATAACGGAAGATGCTGCCTTTCGTAATCCATTTTGTTTATCAAAGTTCCTCCCTGATCATGGTCGTCAAAACCTTCTTATTTTTAAAGTTAACCTATTTTCCCACTTTCGACCCATTATAGCGTTGTTACTAGACTAGTCTAAAGTAACATAGCTGATGTATGCTTGGGTTATTTTCTTATTTCCCCTTCTGATGCATGCGGTGGCGCCGCCGAAGATTTGTTTAAGTCGCATAGTACTCTTATGTGTTACCCATTGTTTATGGGTGGCTTCAGCCCCTCACCGACCGTCATCCAATATAGCCAACGCTATTTTGTGCATTTTTCGTCTCACCATAACTATGGCGTTTTTCCATTCTCGCCAATTCCCCACCGTTTCGTCGTTCTTTCCCACGTGAGTAGCGAAGATACTGGAGGTAGTCTTTGGAACGGCCACTTTTCTTTTCCCTTTTCTTTCTGGTATAGGTAAGGGGTGGTAACGGATACCTAGGCGGGGAATAGAGCGACCAAGCTGAATGGCGGGAGGGGGCTTACGGCGCGTCACGTGACAGTACGGTGTAGCACGAGGCGACCGAAGCTAAACATATCTACACGCACACAACCGCTTTTGCCACGTGCGTGCGTGCATGCAGGCTCTCTCTCCTTTTCTCTGCCTCTCATTTGTGCGTGCATGAATTGTGTTGCGCACGTGGCAGTGTTTACGTGCGTGTGTGCGCTCCTGATCAGCTGATTCGAGTTGGTAATTGCCCTATTTATAGCCAAGAGGTGGTCCTACATCTTCCCTCCTACTTTTCATGTGATAAAAATATTGCCAAGCGGGACTTTTTTCATACCTTGTTACATAATAAACTGTTGACCGCATTATCATCTGCTTGGATCTGGTAGTCACCTAATTAGGGGCAGCTGCCCCATTCCCCTACCAGGGTTGTGAGAAGCGTTATGGGTGATAGAATAAACCTTTTTGGTTCGTTTTAAAATTACCACAACCTCGTGATCGTTTACCTGTCTTATTCACCATAAAGTAGCGTCGTCAAAAATTGGCACCGCTAATTATTGCCTTCTCCATTTTTCTATTGGTTATGGTAGTAGAAGTCTCTGCAGTTTGTTAAATTTTGTGGATAGTTCCTCCTCTTAGAAATTAGAATATCCCCTTCTCCGCCGTTTTCCTTCGATGAGGAAAGGATTGAGCGATTGAAGTTGGTCTCGTCTAACACCCAAGTAAGTGGGGGCACTACGTAATCCGGCAAGGCGGCGTCTCAGTCGCGCCAATTCATTTGACCTTGAGGTTATCTTCGCACTGTACTACTAGTTTGTTCCTTGAAAGCGTGTAGCCTCGATTCCATTGGAGGCGGATTAATCATCACTTCTTTTTCGTGACCCCATCGGATCACTGGGGTGGAGTATATGGGAAGGGGAGTCCTCCTTCTATATGGAAATCCTTGAGATTGCTGGATTTTAGGAGGGAAGAAATGGTACCACTTGTTCTTCACCGTCTATCCGTACATCGTTCTCCCTTCTCCCAGGCAATCACATGACCCAATTGGGCAGTTTCTTAATGGTCAGGTTGCGGTGGCGTTTTTCCTCATCCACTATGATGCTATGTGCACGAGAGTGAGCGCGTGTGATTTATTCATTAAAAACACACGCATACACATGCAAGCTCTACCACGTGACTGGCAGCGCATGTGACCGGAGCTGATGCCACTGTTACTGCTACCATTCAAAGACTATGCATGTGTATTTGTGTGTGGCGCAGCATGTGTTTTGTTTACTCATAATCCGAGATGAAGCAGTGCCGCCTTGAGCACTGTATGCATTTCACCTCCATCATCGTCATCGCCTGTGTCATCATCCACTCTGAGTCAGTCATTGGTCATGGGAAGATTGACACTGTTTGTTCTACACATCATAGCTTTACATCTTCACTCATTGTTGCGTGGATTAATGTGTACACATCCAACGGTGTGAATGCGTCAAGACTAGGAAATGAATACTAAAGGTGAGGATCTTGCAAGGCTGAGAGACGTCCTCAGCACCTCACTTGAAGAGATGGCGCCATTGCGGGATTTATCTTACCATCTCTTCAGTGATTCATATTGCAGACAGACTTGAGAATTGTCTTAACTGCTTCATAACACCTACTAGGTTCCTCTTCCATTAACCATTCCCCGTCCAGGGTGCCTTAAGCAAACAGGTGATCAAGGCAGGCATTATCTAGTCAAAGTTTGTCGGCTGAATGGCTTCAAATGCATCAATTATGGTTCTGTGACCTCCAAAACACGACTACTCAGATGCGGAATTGCTGCTAAATTTGTCTTTTGAAATGACGATGAATAAATCATTTCGCGCTTCAGTCTTTGAAACACTGGGAAAATCATTGCAATCTTTGAAGTTTCAACAGGCGTATGTTTGAAGGCTAGGGGGTAGACCTCTCCTATTGTGTCTGGGATGATCTAATTGGATATTTTGTGATCACCCTCTCCTGCCCAACTTGAAGACGCTCTATGTGCCAACTGTGTGCCTACTCTTTGGCGTAAAAATCAGCCGATTGTGTCGATTGTTTTTTTCCACATCGAAATACTTCACTCTTTGCCGCATCGTTGTGATGTTTACTTGTCGCCACATTCGCATCATCTAGATTTTTCTAGACTTGAATTTAGCGGTAAGAAAGCACTGAAACTTAACCTTTTACTTATTACCTCTAGGTGTCCTCCATCTCTACTTCGGCAAATCCGTTGACGACTTCAATGCCGCATTCCGCTCTTCGCAGAGCTCAAGTACCTTTTCTAACACCTCCTTGGGCCCTTCTTCCTCTTCCGCCAATACCAGCAACACAACTTCCACCTCTGGCAGCTGTAGCAAACCCACCGTCAATGTATTCCACAGCCTCACAACCCGTTCCAATTACTACTGCAATCTGCCTCATCCTCAATCTCACGCTGTCTACGTAGCTGATCCTGTTACAGAGATGTGCAACCAAGCAGAGCGCGCTGTGGTACACGATCTTGAGGCGGCGGTGGGTCACGCCCGTAGTTTGGGCTGTCCGGTGCCGCTTGACACAGTGACGGGCTTTGAAACAGGTTGCCATCTCAGCGGCGAGTCAAACGTAGTTCTGCTGATTGGATGGAAAACCGTCCATCCCATAGCACTGCCCAGCGTGGACGAGATGTTCAATTGGGCTGAAGTGTTGGAGCGCGCGCTGATTGGTGAGTGTGTGGGAGACGATGTGTGTGTGCACGCGAGTTTGTGATTGGCTGGCGGCGTGCCAGATGTGTGTGTGCGTGTGTCCACGCGTGCGTTTCGCTGCGATGCCGATGGCGGTGGTGTTGCTGATTGCAAATTTAGCGCTCGTGCGTGCGTGTGGGTGAGAAATTTGGCCTTTGATGAAGGTAGAGCTTTACAAAGGCGTTCGAGTTTCGTACGAAATGCGAAGTGATTCTAACTAATGTAAACTGGAGTCGAAGTCATTGCCGTATGCCATTTATCATCCACTTTCCTGACTTGTTACTACTGTTAGCGCAACCAGTCCTTATTGTGATGTCATCTGTAGTATTTAAATTGCTACCCAGGAGACTAGGTGACGCGAGGTGGTTTCAAGTTCGGGTTCGTCGTGCATGGTTGCAAAAGTGGTTTTTCTTCTCCCCTCCTCTCGTAAGATTGCTTTCTGACAGTAGCTCCGCCTGACTTTCCCACTTGGTACGTGACTCATTCCTTATCTTTCTGGGGCTGGCATCATCTTCTGCCAGAGTGTAACTCCTCGAATCGTCGGCAATCAAAGCAGCTGTTTATGGTCCATACATCTATGCTTTACTAGCACGAAGCATTTGTTCCTCGATAGTGTCTACAGCCGTTACTGTCCCCTCTGTAGATAAATGCATCTTCTGTTCTCGTAGTTTTTAGAAGGTATAAGTTAAAACAGGCAAAGCAGTCAGACGTCTTGGCATCGTGGCTGTGATAGCAGATTGTCTATGAGTGTCATCGAAAAGTCGAGCAGAAAGCGTTTTGGTATTTATGGCCAATCGCTTTGCTTTCTGAAAGGCAGTAGATCTCGTTCTTGCGACAAGGTGGCTTCATGGAATTCAGCGAAGCTAGTGGTTAGACCACTCCTTTCGCTTTAACCCGCCTCCATTTTTGGCTGTGCATGCAGTTCTAATGGTGTGTGACACGTGACATCTCTTCGACTTAATCAGTGGTAGGACGTGGGTGGACTCTAGGCGCTGACGCATCCACCCGTAATACAAAGAGGGCGGCTCACGCCCACTTAAAATTGTCTCCTCTTAGTCTTCTTCGTCGTCTTAACGCGTGAATTTTATCCGTTTCTTGATATTTTTCACCGTTCCGGTCTATTACGCGTTCCAGCAGTCTAATCTTCCTCCAATTGGTGGGTCTCAAGGTCACCGTTGCGATAGCACACTGCGACCTCTGCTTGCCATGGGTCACTCAAACACCTTTCAGACACGCGAAGGGGTTGAAGACGAGTGCTTGTCGCTTAAATTCATTGTGCCTGAATCCAGTGTTAAAGTAACTGAATCTATGTGCAATCCCTTTAAGGTTGGGATTTGAATTGGGCGCTTTTTGCACCATTTCACCACGATTAGCGTCACGTGATCGAACTGGTTAACTTATGCAAGCAGGTGGAACTTCACAACACACACCTTGTTTTCTGACCATTTCAAGGATTGGCTATTGAATTTCCATCTCCCTCTCCTATTGGTCCATCCTAAACCAACTGTGTTTCTGGGACCGCCGATCCGATCATTAGAGTGCATTCGAATTAGGCGTTATGTGGTAGTACTCAAGATCACACTATTCAGCACAACCGTTTTTAAGACATTCCAGTTGGGTATGGTGGAAAGTGAAGTAGAGGGTCAGATGACATCACGAGGGGATTTTACGCATTAACTTTTTGATCTAACAAACTGTAGTACGTTTTTAATGGGAAGGATATGTTTGTGTTTCGCTTTTCTGAGACCTGGCAGCCGTTTGCAGCAAGGGCTACTGCGCATAGGTAGGTGATTGAATGCATAGTTCCGTCTTACGCCATGACTGTCTTGTTTTGGCGTCCATTAAGGTGACGACGGCATCTGGAGAATGAGGCTTTAATTGGCCTTCGATAGCATGTGATCCGAAAACTCGTATTAATAGTTTTGCTTGGGTGTGCTTTAACTCACTCTGCTGAGTCTACAAATATCTTGCGAGAAGCATGCATGGGAGGCGTGAGAGATTGTGGGCTTTTCCAGAAATTGGTTTCCTCCAAGGTCATGGTGATTTGTTGTGCTACTAGTAGGCTTCGTTTGAAGCCTAGAACTACTTGCCTTAGCTCGCTCTTGCTTTGGTCGGTGTGATCATTCACCGAAGTCGTGACTTCTCTTATAGTGTGTCTCTAGCGTCAATGGGCCTTCTGCTTCCCAAGTTACGTCTCATTGATGCGGCAGTGATAGGGAACATAGCGTCATTTGTTGGTCGTGGATGCTATCCCGCGATAGTTCTAGTAAGACCACGAGTAGAATCCATAAATGGACCGGTACAACCTTCAGAATCGTGATTGGTGGCGGAATGCCGAAAGTGTAGGGGTTGTAATTTGGTTGGCTGGATGTCCGTCGCATACCTTGTCCTGAAATGTCAACCGCGAGCATATTAGACGCGATGGTCTCTATCCATTACGCTCTCCCTTCCACCTCCACATCGATTTGCTTATCAATCTCTCTGTCTCGGATCATTCTGTCAATTGCTCACATTAGTGAAGGGGGATCCTGCATCCTCCTGGCAAGCTATCACGTGATAGACCTGGCAAGGAGGGCAGCGCTAGCGGTTGGTGTAGCAGCAGTCGCAGTAGTCAAGGCAAGAGGTGACTAATTCATTGCCCGTTTACCCTCTCTCACCAGCCTGCCCTCTTGGCTAACTGGCTAAGATGGCTGATTGGCTGTTTGGGCTAGCTGGGTTGTCAGCAGTATCTTGTTTAAAATGCGTTCGTCTCTACGGGGGTGGAGGCATGGAGTGTCTTCTGTGGAGGCGTGGTTTTTCCTTCAGATGGTTGGCTGGGAGATGCGAGGTAGTCTCTGTTATAGACGCCCTTCTTCAGTCTGATCGTGAACAGTTCCTACCTCTGTCATCGTCGTTTCTACGACTCCCTGACCTTGTCCAGCTATGTAACTTTGTGTGCGCGTTCTGGTCGGGCGATAATCACCGTTCCTCCAGACTGCATTTCCTTTCCAAAAGGATGAAAAGGCCGCCCCCACTTTCCTGCACAGAAAAGCGTGATTCATGTGCGTTTCTATTACGTGATCTCTCCTGCTCCGCCGCGTTAATTCGTTTTCATCCGTGTTTCGTGCGTCTGTATATGCGCAGTACGCCTAATTGGGGCTATTTTACTTGTCGTATGCTTATTCAATCTTTTTAGTGGTTTATGACCAATGTAATGCGCATTGAAAACGAGTTTCTGCTGAATTACGCTAGATGGTTTGCAGCTTAGGAGGTTCACTGAATCTCTTGCTAGAAGGTGGGGCGATAGGCTGTCCTCCTCATGTTAAGCTTGTTTTCCCTGTATGTGTGAGAAATGTGTACTCTGTTGGCCTTGGTGCTGTCTTAAAAGCAGTCTGCATTGTAAATTTACATGAAGATATACATTTTAACTTACTCCACTCCTTCACCTGATTCGTTGGCCTACTTCATACTCATCTACCCGACTTAACCGACTGAATAATTTGAGTTGGCACGGAAAAAATAACTGAGAGGCCACATTGTCAAAGTAAATGTCTGTCTTAGGTTGTGGTTTCCATTTTCTTCCCCAGTTTTATTGATTTCTTTTCTCATCGTTTGCAGACTCCAACTATCACGTCACATTGTGCCGCGTTGGTAGTGCCAGTGACAACACTTCAGCAAGCAGTTGCGTACTTGGTGCTGCAGGCGGTGGCTGCGGCGGTATCAGCGGTAGCGGAGGAGTTGGCTCCGTGTCAACATCCTCTTCCACCACTTCTGGCATCATTCCCACCTCCAACGTTGTTGTTAGCGGTAGTGGCGTTACCTCTGTCTCCTCCTCTTCCTCCTCCTCTCGTCTGCAACTTGGTCTTCAAGCTAGTCTCCACGTCCAACAATGGCGCCTTTGTCTTATCGGTGAACCCTCTGCTGGCTGTCAGTTCATTGCACAGTGGCGACTGGATGCATTGGATGCCGCCTACACAATGGAGAGTGGTAGCAATAGTGGCACCTTTTCCGCCTTCGGTGGATCCACTTATGACCCCGTGGGAGGGCAACCTTTCCTGGGATTCACCCCACCTGGTGCTCAAGGTGTCTTCCCAACTTTCAGTACCTCCTATCAGAACGACGATCGGTTCTTTTTGGAGGCAAATCGTGCTGCTGGCAAAGGTGAGTTAGTGCGAAATTTATTTCATTCTCATTGGCGCTATGGTGGGATATCGTGATTTTAAGGAAATGCTTGTTTTTTAGGGCTGGCAGGCAACTACGTCTTCCAAGTGGACGGCCGACGGTTGGGACAGCTGGCGCGCGCTATAGATGAGTTGATGTTGCGTCGCTTTCCAGCGCTTACCGCGCCACCAGGCACCCGGGTTCTTCCTTCCACCAACACCGATGATGAATCTCTGCATTTACGCAAGTCCGCTGCTATCGATATTCGCTCCAGCTGTGGTGCCAGCAAGCCACTCTTTGGTGCTTCGTCCTCCTCGCTCTCACCTCCCACTGGCGTCGGTGGTGGTGGTGGCGGTGCCACTGGTGGGGGAGGCGGTGCTGTTTTTGGCTCCGCTTCTCCTCATGGTAGTAGTGGTTCATTCGCACCTTCCAGTTTGCCAACAAGGGGTGGCGGTGCGTCTACTGTTCCTGCTTCCGCTGCTGTGGTGGAAGAAGTGTCGATGGTCCCACAGCACTCTTCTTCGTCGACATCTTCTTCTCGATCGAAAAAATCGGGACATCGGCAGTTCTTCGGAGGTGGTGTCTTCGAGCCTTATTCTCGGTCTGTGAAAGGTCTACTGAAGTAAATAAACCGAATTTTTGTTTATTCATTGTAGCTCAAACATTAGGGCGATCAGACGCGATCAAGATTCCCACACGACGATTCACTACGGCACTTTCCAAGATGACTGGGGATGGTGGATTCTCCTCACGTGGACGATCTTCATCTAAAACGGGTTCTGGTGAAGGCAGTGCGGAGGGCAGTTCTTCAGATGCCTCCTCTACGAAACCACAACCACCTCTCTACTTTCCTTCTGTCATGGTTGGTGCGGGAATCATCACCTCCCTCGTGCCTGCTCCACCTCCACCTTCCCAATCTGCGCGTTATGAAGTGTTCGGCACATCTGCTGCACCTCCTGTCACAGCCGCTAGTTCACTTCGACCAAAGCAGAAATCAGAGCTCCCTCCACCTCCACCATTGGCTGCTCCACCTCCGCCACCACCACATCCGCTGTCACACTGTACACCCCCCTCTTCCCCGTTCTCTCTAGCCTGTGAGCGTTGTCAAAGGCGTAGACAAAGGGATCATCAGAAGACCCCTTCCGCTGATCCTGCCTCGATTTCCTCCGAAGATGGTGGTGGCGGGGTTGGCGGTGGTGGGAACGGTGGCGGCATATTCGCTGCTGATGAAGACGTTGAGCAACCAATGCCTTTGGCGGTGGTGGAATGCCGGCGCTCACCTCCTACTCACCGCGCGTTTTACAATCTTTGTGAGTTTAGTGATATTCTTGTCACAGTCAAGTGGACATTATTTTTAACTCTCGTGCTCTTTCTTATAGACAAACAAGTCTACCACGCAGTGGAACCGTTCCATACGAATTGCAGGCTTCCTCGAAGTGGATCTTTTGATGTTTGTACTGCTAGAAAACGAAAATTGGCCCGAGAGAGGGTATTCGAAGCTCTCGGGGGTGGTGAGGGTAGCCCTTTGGATTGCTTATTACACAAACTTTCCCCACCATTGGATAATGCTGCCTCCTGTGTCTTTCTTCTTGCCTTTTCCCCACCTCTCAAACCACTTTCGAAAGAGGAAATGGAGTACCGATGGTGAGTGGATTTCCTTTGAAATGTTTGTCTCTATTTTGAAGGGAGTAGTTGATAAGCTTCTGTCTCCTCAGGTACTTAGTGCACCGGCCAGGGAGCTGTTGTTCTCGATGCTGCCTGTGGAATGCGCCAATCTTTCTAGCAGAACTGAACCTCCAAGATGTAGTCGCTCATCAGATGCATATTCTATCCTTGAAGAAGGATATGATCACTTCAGAGCCCTTACGCAGCATTCCCTGTGGCGCCATCCCTTGTCTCTCTACTTCACGACTCTTTGTTTGGCAATTCTCCGGTGGTTCGCTCTATGGCGAAATGGTGAGGCGAGAACTTGTCAACTTTTTGTATTACTTCTTAATTTTCTCTCACCTTTGAGTAATCGTTTCACTTTCAGTCACAATGTTCCTCCCACGTTAAGTCGACCCCCCTACGGCCCTGGTCGGTGCTCTACCTCGGTCCAGATAGTGAAATTGATGATGGCACCCTTCCTGTTTCCCCGTCTGTTCTCTCTGTCTCCTCCCCATACTGTTGTTGCTACTGTGGTTCTCCCCTCTCTCAGCCTCAATGTAGGTCTCGAATACAACAGCAACATCAACAATCTCAATATAACCAGCCTCCACAGCTAAATTATCATGCCTATGCGAATCTGATTCGGAACATTGGTAGTAGCACTCTTCCCAGTGTTTCTCGGCGTAGTCATCACCACCAAACCGCTCCAGTTGTCTTTCCTGAAAAACCCTCAGCTTCTCGTGACATCCCTGTCGATCAAAATCGTCGCGGAGTTTTCTCTACTTCTTCCACCGTAAGTTTGAAGTAGAGGGCTACGCATTGACACATTTCTGTTGGTCTTAATTTCAGAATTCTTTTGCTTTAGTCGTGTTCTACGTCACAAGCCTCGTCACCAAGTTCGCCTCAGGGTCACGTCTCTTACTACAACCTCACGAGTAATGTGGGCATCGCTTGTCTCCCACCGAATCCCCTGAAGTACTCTTTCCACGAGGAGCGCTCGAGTGGAGCGTACGCAAACTTGCAACATCTTTATGCCCCACTGAATCCTCAGCAAGCCCGATTACGAATGCCGTGTAGCGTTCGGACCTCTGCATCCACTGCTGTCACAGATCAAATACCAGACGAGATCCGCGAGCCAAAACGGAATTATGCATTGGTGGACCTCCGTCCTAGTCCGGCTAGTTCGGTGATTGCTCCTGGCGATACAATCACTTTGGTATCTACCTCTGAAGACGCGGTTTTAACAACACCCGACGGTGGTGTTGGTGGTGGAGTTGGCGGTTGTGGTAGTGGAAGTCGAACTGATTCAAGTGCTTCTACTTTGCACACAAACACTTCTACCTCCTCGTCGGCTGCAACATTCGTTCCAGGAAATGGTGGTAATCGCCCACGAACTGCTTCGCAGCACCGACGAACCTCATCGCATTCGTTAATTGCTGTGCTTCCCGTTCCAACACTAAATTACGTTCACATCATGACCAAGCGGGATGCGGAAGCAGCAGCAGCGGGCGCTGCAGGTTGTGAGAGTCCAGCTTCCTCTTCCACTGCTACCTCTTCAACTGCGAGTTCATCAGAAAAGGAACAACGGGCTCCCACTGCAGTTCCTTTAAATTTAACAACAACTGCGGCTCTAGCGCCCCACGCGGAGCAGATTCCCTACGCACAAATCGACTTTGAGCGCACAAGAGCCTTGAATGCGGTGAACGGAGCAGGAGAGGTGAATCACCTTCATGGACACCATTTCCACCACTCCCATCATCACAAAGCGGCCACAAATGCGTTCACTACGCCCTTGGGCGGTGGCAAGACATCACTAGTGAGTGGATGCGGTGGTCTGCGTGGCTTGAGCGCGCGAAAAAAGTCTGATGGATGGTGAGATGGCACTTAGAAGTGGACTGGCTTTGACGACGTGATACCTCAGTGGAATTCGTGTATTTCTACTTCTTTTTTTTCTTTTTTGAGAGAACATGAACTTATGTAATGAGAGTGAGAGGAAGTTGCTATTTATTATTTATACATGACTGTGCGCCTGTGCGTATGTATATACGGGGAGATTGAAGTTCCTATTACGATATGCAACCAATGGAAAAGATTTTATGAATTCATTTTTATTCCCCTAGTTGGGAGGTGGGGAGGGGATCGGCTGTTGTGCCGTACGGCGTCCTTAAGTTGAGTCTTAAGCTCGCCTCACCCTTTTCTACTATTTTTCAGGAGCATACCAAGCCCAGATTCAAATCTTGTATAAAACATGAAAGAAATAAGTTAGCACAGAAGGAACTGTCAAATTTTACCGAGGAGAAGATAGCGAGAAGGACAGTAAATGAACCCATCACAGATTGAAGATCAGAAGGAATCGGACAGATGCGCATATTTTTCGTGATTTTTTTCTTTGTCTAAAAAACGAAGTAAGCAAGGGTCGTGAGGTGTGTTTTATTGTCTCCCGCATTAATGATAAATTGGAAGTTAAATGGTTTCGAAAGAATCGTGCAGATTATGGCTAGATTTCAGATTTGACAAATGATCCATACAAAAGGAAACTAAACGACAAGGCCTAGTTAACACGTCATTGGCTAGTAGAGGTAGCGACAGTGGTGGTGTTTATGATGGTGAGGTCTCCAGTCACTCGACAAAAGTATAATGCTTCCCCTCAACCACTAATCGGTGCTACTATCAATGCTGGAAGTACCTGATCATTTTACTACAAATTCGGGAATTTTAGTTTAAATGAACTGCTCTTGGGTAACGCAGCTGGGAAGTAACCGTCCACTGTCTCTAGGATGAAAGTATTTCCTACCTGTACTTTCTCTTCAGTCATTCATATCTTCATTCAACACACGCCAGCGACTCCAGTTGTAGAGATTTGCAATTTGTCGACGATCCAATCTAACTGCACGATCGTTGTCATGAGCAACCATTTGGATGTGGTGCCAGTTCTTAAGTATTTCTTCTTTATTCTGGTCGAAGGCGCTTTCGTTTCGACTGGTTCCAAGCAATTCAACAGCAATGAATTGCACTGATCCACTAGGTTTTCCCCTAGACAATCGTGATGGTTTCACCCGCCGACCAGTGTCTCTGACCTAAATAAAAACCTACTTATAAATAGCAAGTAGCATTATAATTATGCAAAAGAAGCGTTTCGTAAAGCATATGCAAGATGCGACTTGCCTTATTTAAAGCCTGATTCGGTTGATCACAGATGTGATCCTTTATAAGGCTCCGAAATTTCCATGAACGTTGCCTCATAGCCATTTACCTTTTTGGTTAAACTTTCTTCGAATCCCATTCATTTATTATGAGGGGTGTAAACAACTTCTCTCTTACCTCTCTTTCGACAACAACTTACAATGACCACTATAATGCAAAAAGATCAAAAAAGCAGTGAAGAACCTTGTGAGCCTTTGTAGTGCCCACCAAACCTCATTAATGTTCAGCACGATTTTTTAAATTGCTAGTTATGGAATGCGCGTACAATGAGGATATATCCGAGTCAAAAGTCTGTCGAATGCTATTGGCAAATTCCAAAGTAAGCTTTCTATAGATAGAATAAAAGCTACCAATTCTGCAGCTAAAATAGTACAAAAATTTAAGCTTAAGCTGAATGCACTTGTGATGCTATTGAGTGTGCAAGTAATAATGTAGGCTGCCGTTTCATCGAAGGGGATACTTGCTGAGACGAAATTCCCCCTTGTAGGAAGAATTGTCCGCGGACTCGATCCAAATGACACTTGCAATTTTATTGTCCATCAAATTTCGTCCAAAATGAAGGGCAAATGCTGGAACCCTAGAAGTAGTTGGGAGTGTGGTGGAGACTTGTTACTGACCGGAAGTCGTTTCCCCTGAGGCCAGAGTACCTTTTGCGTCACTCACCACGACAACTACGCCTTTAGCACACGTGACTGTGGGATTTTCCATGAGTTATCACAGCCAATGAATAAGTAAACGCGGTTCCAGAGGTAACTGACTCTCCTCCTAGGGGTTGCATTGAAAAGTGCTAAAAAAGCCCAACGTCTTGGCATTTCCACTAAGAATTATACGATAGTCGATCTGACAGTTTTAATGTCTTCACTTTTGATGGACAAAGGTAATTCAGGTCGAGTAGTGGTGACTTTAGGTTCGAGCTTTTCATAATAAAAAGTAATCGCCATGTAAACTGGTTGGTAGAGATTGAACAATCCCTTCAAAGGGCAAACTCGCATACATGGGAAGGAAGACGTTTCTTTCAATGCCTGAAAGCGTTACTAACGGGTGAAACATGGCTTCTTTTTGAACTCGTAAAACCAAAGGGACTCCCGAAGCTCCACGATTTTAAGCACAATCTAAGAATATAATACTCACTTTGAATCCCATACCTGCGTTTTTGACAATGTTTTGCATATGCATATCCTTTAATCAGAAATACCAACATCAAAAACAACAAAACAACAACAAACCCTCTAATGGCACAGTTGCTCAGCGCCAAAATCCCGTCGAAGAGGTGACAGCAATTAAAACTTGGTTTAGTCTATGCCCTGAAATCTGTCACTGCTTCCTCATTAAACAGCGTCGTCCCTGCGATTACGTAATGTAGCGCTCCATGCGGAGGCATCGTCGTGCCTACGACTGGGGCCGAGTGGCACTGCCTTTCGTCACAGCTCGGTTGCTCCCTTACTTATGCTTGACCCGACTCAAAATAATGTGCCAAAGGACCCGACGCATTTTCAGGTAAAATTAAAATTAGTTAACATTCATTTAAGATTATTCAAACACAAATATGTCCACATATTAAAAAGGCCTCACCGTGACAATCCACTTGCCATAGCAGCCCTCGCCAGTGTGAATCAGACTCTTCCACACCATCTGACTATGTCCGTTGTAGTGATCGCGGGATCGTGCCACCAGTAGATTGGCCACTTGGCCACTGGGTGAGGCAAGGAAGACTTCAATGGATCCACGATGCACCGACGTCCACCGCATCGCCACTCTGACCATTTCCACCACCTCCACTCCACAAGTGTCAGGTTCAAAGTAGAAAGTGAATTCTGTACTTCGACCAGTGAAGAGGGTCCGCTTACTAAATGCACGAAACCAGGAAAATTAATTCACTTGATGCAAATTTAATGTTGTTGGCTGTGATGAGCTCTAAATTTCAAGCCCTTGAGAGTGATAGCATACAGCTGCTTCATCGGTCCCACCTTCCTTTCACCTCCCACAGTGAAGTTGACATGAGTTGAAGCACCTCCTGACGCATTCTATTTCCATGAAGATGATCGTTTTCAAGTGGACTGACGATTGTAGCACTACGTTTTGGCCATGCTGCTCATGTCAGCGGTCCATCTTGAATCTTTAAAGTGCTGTAAATCAACTCGTCCGATTAAGCATTCAAGATTTGACCCCAAGGCCGTCCTAGCTGCAGTGCAGGCTATCACGACGAAAAACCTGCAGACCCTTTGAAACTGCAGTGACACGCCAATGGTTGTGCTATGCTTTGTTGATGTTATCACCTGACGTCTGGCGATTACTTTGACATTTTGTCTGAACCTTGTACATGTGGACTGACCGTCGAGACAAGCTCTGGCTTGATTCCTTTTCACTCTCTAGAATGCATTAATTCAACTCAAACTGATGCCTTCTTCCACGTGGAAGGAAGTCTCAGGAGGCTACAGTTGTATCACCTTTCCGGTTTTGCTGCTCCTCCATTAGCTTTCACCAGTGCTAAACCTCGAAACTTTATGACTGGCACTGGAGGTTATCCTGTGCTAAAAATGTGTCTACCTTAAACTTTAAAATCAGCAGTTCCAGAGGAACTCGAAACTTACAATTTAGAAGTAGAACTACGCTCTGCTAACCCTCCTTTCCCCCTTCCCCAATCTCCTTGATGCGAAACACAAAACTGCTGTCGTCCCAAGGGTTTCCAATGCCTTGCCAACTTGACCATCCGGACGGCGTTTAAAAGACCGCTTCCGTAAATGTGACTCACCTGAGGAGCACCATAGAAGGGTGATTGTTAATTGTAAATTTTAGCATGAAAGCTAAAAGCAACTCCTCGACCTACCAACAATCCACCACCGTTGATACCGAAATCCAAGGCACTGGGCGAAGGAATCCGACCACTCAAAGCCAGCAGTGCATTCACGTCCCGTGGGGTGAGGTTTGGACTGAAATGAGTAGATGCTACTTATGCGTATTTAACACAATGTCTCCGGTTTGCCTAAGGTAGTTTATAAATCGTACATCAACAGGACTGCAAAATCAAAATTGGGTGCAAAAACTTAGTAGTTCGTTTTATTTTTCGTGCTGGAAAAATTGTAGACAACATACTTTGCCTCCATGGCAAGAGCTATTACACCCGCAGCTATGGGGTTCGAGGCGGAGGTCCCGACGAAACGACCGGTGCACATGTTGTTGATCTTCGTGGTAGGCTGCAAGAATGAATCGTCAGGATGTGCTTTGCGGACTGGATGATTCTCATTGCTTCTTCTATCGCCTGCTCTTAATTCAGAAAAGTCCACACAAACCCTTGATTTCTCTCTTTTGGATTTAATGATAAAACTTATTTCAGCGTGGCTACGAAGAGAGGTGGCTGCCCTGTGCGGTCTGCTACACGAAGGTTTCAAGAAGACGAACTGTCACATCACAGACTTCTTGTCAACTTACTCTTAGACTTAATTTTGCTGGAACCAAACCATCTTGTAGTTGATCTTTTATTTAACAGTGCCTTTGCAATCTGATAACTGCCTCTTTGAATGCAGCTAGTAAAGAAATTTTGAGTAGGTAAGCAGCTGAAGAATAGAAAACGCAAGGAAAGCGACTTGTTAGGAGAAGCGGTTGTGACAATTTTGTTACACTTGTTCTCTTCCGGTTACGCATTCTTAAGAGGAACTAGAGAATTTCCTCATTGTGGCCAAATTCGAATCTGCGCACCACCTTATGGCTAAAACTCAAGTTTTGTGCCTCTCGTGTACCCAGTCAGCCACTAGCAACAACTTCCCTCCTTTCTACAAATAGTCTCTTTGATATGCGATGTATGCAACAAAAGCAATTGCCATGCATGTCTAAATAAGAGTTATTTACCACGAAACGTTGTCGGGTGTTGAGTTGATGCTTAAAAGTCAGCCTGTCCTGAGCGCCTCCAACTGGCACGGCAACGGCAATGGCGGAACAAGCCTCGCTGTAGACCGGTGGCAAACCATTTTCACCCAACGCACTAACAGCAATCACACTGGGGTGATTGACAAAACCATCAGCGCCACAGTTGTCACCTACGGCACCACCATTACCTGCGGGAAAGACGAACACCGAGCCGCGTCCGTGGTTGCCCTGAAGGTGGCAATCATAAATGAGTGGATGAAAGGTGTAAAAGGATACGATTTTAAGGCTTTAATCATCACAATCAAGGTCGTGAATTCTGCCGTATGCGCATATCAAGATTGTGGCTCGACAAGTCGTAGATCAGAAGGACTCAAATGGTATTCACGCGTAAAGGAAACCACAAAAAGCAGCCAAATGAAGCAGAGAAACTCCCATGGGCTCAGCGTCGTTAAATGAGGTGGTTTTATGAAGCATAAGTTTTGTACGTGCTCACGAAGAGGCAGACCGAAATTGAAGTAACCTTCGTCAACGTATCCATTCATTTTACACTTGGAAAATTCGGTTCTTCCTCTCTCGATTAACTAATTTTGTAATGTAATAACTGAGGGGATGAAAAGCTGGGAGGGAGTGGTCACAAGCCTTGTTACAAGGTGAGGAGCTGGTACGCAATCCCCGCAGATAACGCCAAGGCAGCGCTTTTCGTACATGAGAGTGTTTGATTGGGTTCTTCCGGTCTAGTGCAAAACGAGCTGTGACGAATGGTGCGTCGAGCCTCATTACTGCCTACTTCGTGCAACTGAGATTGCGAGTTTGCGTTGAGAGTGGCATTTATGGCAAGAGCAAAGGATACTTGACTAAGACGAGCACCAACTCACCACGACACTCACGACACCAACTCACTCATCTACATATCTACTTCTCACTTCTTTGCCGACTATCTCTTTCCTACTGTCTAGGGTAGAGAACATCCGAGAGCGAGCTCGACCCTTCCCCTGGATCGGTTAATTAGTCAAAGCAAATTGTGGCGAGAGAAAGCAACCTTCAATCCTATCAGGGATAACCGCATATTCAGAAAAACTCCGAAACCCTGAGCCCCGACCATCTTGATCTTCACTTACAACAAAACCAAAGTTGGCTGAGCCAAAAAAGGTTTCCCATGGTGACAAAGAACAGGCACTGAGCATCTTAAACAACCATCAAAACAATGAGAATTAATAAATGACGAAAAAAGGCGAGAGTATTCGCAACATTTCCGTAAACACTTATGCAGACCTTCAATCGGCACTTTAAACCATTTCCATCATTTCATTACTCCGCACAGAACTCTAAAAAGTGACAATCTCCTTGTCATGAAGAAAACTTGAATTGAGTCGTTGTCATGCACACATCTGAAATGCTTCTCTCACCTTTTTCTTTTGTTGTCAGGATTATAATAACGGATTCGATCACACGGTTGGAGTACCATGGCAAGTTGTGAAGATGCGTTCCAGTCCATCTGAGGGGCTATCAAGGAGGACTCACTCAGAACGAGGGGTGGAAGCGGGAGGAAGAAGGAAATGTTAAATGAAGCCAGGGGCATGATTGAGTGACGTCTACTTAATGAAAGACAAGAAACTCGTCTATCGAATCCTGTCACGCTCGCTCTCTCTCGCATCAACTCTCTGCAAATCACAGCTACGCACACATGCGCGATAGCTGAGGTTAGCACTTGCGTTACCGATCACGGTGTGTGAGTAATTTACGACATGCGAAAAGTTGAAGGTAGAAGCACAGATTCCACCCTCTCCTCCCCCTCACAGACCAAAAACGAACCCGCATCATAAATGTGCTTCACTTTAAAGAGTCGTCTTGTGTTACCTGTAACAAACCGGAGGCTCGAGATCCAATAACTCCTATTTTTGAAGAAGGAAGGAAAGGATGAAATGCGTAATAACCGATGGCGAAAGGGATCACCTTAATTTAATTGGTTAACTCACTACTTTCTAACAGCGATTACTTAATTTGATACTCCTCAAGGCAAAGAGAAGGCGAAAAATTTTTTTGGTTATTTAAAAATTGGAGAAAAATTTACCTTAGTACCAGTTGACCTCAGTGCGATGCTCATATACGTCCCAGGAGAGCGCATTGTCCTGCCGTCATCAGTTGGACCCCAGGAGGAGATGTAGATGTTGGCCACGTCTGCGAAGAGTGTCAGAGCCTCTCCGACCATGAAATCCGTAACTTTGTTTCCCAATAAACGAACCCCTACCGTTCAAACATCCACAAAAATGCTTCTAACCATTCAAAGAGCTTTGTTCATCGGTCACGAAGCAGCAAATGTGATAAAATTATTCATTCCTAAGTCTGGCTTAAATCATAGCCGACGATAGATGCAGAGAGCAAAAAATTGATAGACGAAGAGCGTCGTCTTCAACTATTTGAATTACTTAACACAATTGCACTCGTCAGAGATCGGCACTGTTAAATTTGTCCTGCTGCATAAAATTAAATAATTTGTGCTATTAAATTGGCAAAGGAAAACACACATTTGCCACATGCAATGCACGAGACCCTTAATGCTCAAAGTAAAGTTACTTCCCTTTTGTCAGATAGTGCCACCCTTCCCATAATTTGTATCTTTTTAATGTCATAGGGCGTAAAAGTATCGAATACCAAGTTACCGAATTAACAAGGCAATTTACCTCAAAGATGGTAACTCACCCCCCAAAGTGGCATTGTAGGCCACACCAAAGGCGCACCTAGAATTGTTTGCTACTGCGGCGAAAAGGCCAGCCACTTCTGTACCGTGACTAAAAAGAAATTAGCAAAAATACAACTTTCTTCTACTCTATTATCCCTAAAACTAAACAATTTGAAATTTTTACACCCGCACATACCCCACTTACTCATCAATCTTCTTCATCTTTTCGTCTGTTCCACGGGCATCTTTTCGTGTTACGTTTACCAAATCAGCAGTGAGATTCAGCTGGATGTTGGGACAAAGGTCCTCGTGGGTGGTGTCAAGGGCATCATCCACGATAATGCCTACAACGCCCTTGCCAGTGATGTTGGCCATGTAAACTGGGTAGACATTGAGATCGATTCCAGCATTCCTGCCTGTATTTGGATCACCATCATTGAGCTGAACGGACCATTAAGAAGTAATGAATAGGTAGACCCACCAATTGCCACATATCACGACTGTTCGGATCGTTGAAGTTCAGTACTTTGCGCAGTTTCTCTGCACGATCTTTTGCCGCCAAAATGTATTCATCATCATCCTAATACCAAAAAAACTAGGACTTAGCATAGTAATAGCAATACAAAATATACGATTGGTTTATCAATAAATTAGCTCACCGGAAGTTCGATGGCCTTAAATGGTCTTAACTGAAAGGTGGAAGTTGGGATCTTCTTTTCAAGAATAAATTGTGGCTGATGCTCAACATATAAGACCTATAAAGGGACAAAAGAGCGGGAATCGCAAATGAACTAAAAAAGGATAGAAAAGTCAGCCTAAAAAATCACTTACCCAAGGTAAGGTCCTGCAGGATTCGTATAGTTCTAGTAACGCATTTCCTGTGCGATCAGTTATAAAGTAATGTAAATTGGGACCTAAACACTCCTTTAAACAAAATGAAAACAATATTGAGAAAAATTCACTCTTATAAATGCAACCTGTAACAGCAATTTAAGATTGCATATAGCGCTATGTATTTGTTATATAGGTATATTCTAAGACTGATGAAAATAAATCAACACAAACCATTCCAAGATTTTGTCTCACAATTTTAGTTGATTTTTTTATCAAAAAAAGTTACCAATTGTTCTATATATGTATCACAAGTATACGTACGCAAAAATGATAGATGAGTCGGTTATCCTCAATAAACCGCTGCAATTCGTGATTCTCAGGATCTCCTTTGATTAAAAAGTGACTTCTTTGGGATTGAGCAAGGTTTATAATGCATAACAACAGTAAAAACTTGACCCATCTCATTAGAGACATTGCCGAATGATTACATCTACCACCAAAGCGATTTGAAAATGTATTCCTTTACTTACGCTTGGTCAAGGTTATAATAGGCAAAGAAAAAGCACTAAAGACAACATTATTAAGCTTATCATTCAATAAAAGTTAGGAAAAAATTAATAAAATTTAACTTATTTTAAATCAAAATTTTAAGTTTTTTAATTTTAAAACTGTCATATAAATTACTTTGTTAAAGCGATGATATTAGCTTGAGCTATTATGAGAGTGATAATTTGTTTTGTGAATAAAACGTCTCAAGACGTGTTACAGGATAAAAGAAGCAGTAATTGAAGCTGATTACATGTATTTTTGTGGAGAACAAAGTAATTAATCCTGAACATGGTCCGAAGCCCAGCCCTCGCGTACAATGCGCAGACAAATATTAAAGTGGCCGCCAGACATCAGGTATTCACATGAGCAAAGTGGTAAAGTGATCATCTAGTTTTTGATGGTTAGCTTGGTATTTTGTTTCTCTCTTTTACGCGTGGGCTGGCCTTCGTTCAGTGCCAGGGCGCTATGCCTTCATCTTCTTCAAAAATACATGGATTCAGCTGAGCAGGATACTTTCTTTTAGCTAAAAGAAGCCAAGGCAGGCTACAACCAATAGCAATAAAGGTGAGTTTATCCACATCGAATATGAGCTAGCATAGCAAATCACAACTTTAAGGTGCCTTGTAAATCACAGCTTCGTTTAGATGTACATCTTTGTAATAATTTTTATGCTCTTTGTTAGAAAAAGAACTTGACATTCATCAGAGATTTATGTTGCATATTTGGTTGAAAAATTACTGAGACTAAGTGCACGCGTAAGTCACGCGAATTTATATGCTCCCCTTCTATTCAGGTAATGTTTGCGTCCTCCTCAGGCTTCCCACCATGTAGAATTCATTAGGGGTAAGCTATAAAGTCCATATATAAGGAATGGGGTAAAAAATATGTGTGGTGTCTCGAGACGTCCTTGTAATACCTTGTTTATGTGACTACCTGATGTTTGATGATCACCTTAGGATTTATCTGGCCTTTGTATATGTGGGCTGGCCTTCCAGTCATGCTCAGGTCCATTTACTTTGTTCCCTTTGGAATACATGTATACAACCTCACTCACTGCCCTTTTTCACCCTGTGAGAAATCTCGGGACGCTACATTCCTAATAGATAAAAGATGGAGAAAAGCGGAAAGATTGGGCTTTGGATTGGTTCGAAGACCACCCCACGCGTACAAGACCAAGACGAATGTCGTATCAACCACCAGACATACAGGTGGTCGCATCAACAAAGTACCGCATCGCCCCTCTCTCCTTTAACGCGGTGTCATTCGCTCTACC